TTTCACTACCAGTACAGCCAGTTTTCAGACCAGTCCTTGGAAACCACCTCCAGCAAACTATTCCTGCTGTGGCCATCCCTTCACCTGGAGGAAAGTCCAGGCTGTGTTTGGCTGGTGACTCCTCTCCAGGGGCACGGGGAGGGCTTTTATCAGTGGGGAGGAGAGGGAAGGATAAGCAGAGAAACCGGTACGTGGGGAAGGGAAGGTGTGGGAGGAGGGCTGCATCAGGTCTGTGTACAGAGGGTGTTGCAAACGTGCCAGGGAGAGGCCCAGGGAGATCCTGGGGCCCTCTCAAAGTAGGAAACTCTGAAAAATATTTTCCTAAGCTTGTCTTTGGACAGCTGCAGCTGACTTTAAGCAATGACACCAAGCAAACTGGAATCTGGATACTGCAGTTTTTCAATCCAAACAGATGTCTTCTAACCCCAGATCTTCTCTCACACTCCCAGGATGCCCTTTCTGCCTTCTCCTCCCTCCACCTGCTCAGACCTGGATATGAATTGCCCCTATTCCCCCATGCCAGCTCTGTCCTTGGGCTGCCTGTTAGTGAACTTGCTATCGTGCACCATGCCAGTGACCCCAACAGCCCCTCTAGGGTTAGAATACCAGTCGAGAGGATAGGATACGCTCCTGGTTTCGTGGCTGTGGTTTACATGCTGAGTTAAGAAGACATTTAACATATCCATGCTTCAAGTGTTTCCCACTTTAAAACAGAAGTGGGAGGCTTGACCCATATTTGTAAAGCCATTCAAAGTCAGCTGCAAGGTGTCACAGTATGGTCGTTGTTAAAAACACTGTTAGGTCTGTAATTCCTCAAACTATCAGGTAGGGATTAGAGCAGGGCAGTGGCAGGCAGGGCTCGGTGTGCTGGTTGGGCTGGCAGAGTACCTGAACGCAGGCAGGGGACTGCAGGACCTGCTGGCAGTGGCTCTGGGCTGGCTGCTGCCAGGACACGGCCAGATGAGCCAGGACTCCACGTCTGCTCCCATCCAGATCCGCCAGCACATCACAGAAATCAGTTTGTCTTGCAATGTAATGAAAGCTGCCGAGAGTCACCTTCACTAATGCTGCCTGTCCTTCCCATTTATTTTTATCCCACTTGGAAGTGCTCATTAGTGTTTACTACCACTTGCCAACCAGCAGCTTGAAATAACAGAGCTGGTGAGGAGGATGGGGAAAGTGAGTGAAGAAAACAGACACAAAAGCTGGGCTGTTTGGTAAGAGGGCTACCCCATGGCAGTGTAGACCTTATGTGCATCCTCCCCAGCCACCCTCACTTTGCAATACTTATTTACTCTTGAGTCCAGAAAACAAGTTCACTAAGGAAATCTCACGGACCACACAGCAGTTATATGACCTGTAGAGGAATTTTTGGGAGTGTTTTCGAACAGGAGGCGACTTTCCCTTTTGGCATCCAGAGCCAGACACTACCAAAGCAATCAGCAGACAAGTGCCAACCTCCTGTCCTCATCTTAGGTTCCACTGACAGCCTGATGCTTAAGAAAACTGAGCTAAAAGTCCTGAGTTTTATCATTGCTAAAAGCTTTGACACTCCCACTGATGTCAGTACTTTGAACACTGAGATATTTTGATGTGGTCTCAACAAAACATACTTGTGGTCTGGATCCAGACTTCATAATTTATGTAACTCTAATCTAGACATTAATGTTTCCATGTCCCAGCTTAATTTTCTGTAAAATGAGGATCATGTGCCTTTTCCTATCTCTTGGTCCGGTATGAGGTTCAGTATAGTTTCTTGCATGCTCTGAAGTTCTCAAATGAAGGGACTGAACGCAGGGCCAAGGAGCCAGAGTGCTTTTCTGCCTCCTGGTTGCAGAGCTATTATTCATATCACTCCAAGAATGCTCTAATTATGTGTAGGTAAGGTACCAGGGAGTGAGATGTCCACTAGAAACCTTTTCCCTTTGTGCTTAGACCTTCATCTCCAAGCTAAAACCCAAACCAGTGACATTAGTTATCACTATCTCGTATGACAAATCATTAGATTTGAGTCCTCACAGCAAATTTTTTTAAGTCTAAGCAGAATAAAATTTCTCTGCCATGTTTAGTATGTCGTGTCCAACAATGATATCTAAAGGGCTTGCTGTCTGTCTATTAGCTAGTTATTTAATGCTGTTTGCCATAAGTCTTTGGAGAGCAGGGCATTTTACTTAAAGAGAGGTTGTTCTTTTTTAAAGAACAAGAGGTTTCTTTTCATGAGAACAGGCAACACAATCTCAGGAGCCTCCACTTGCAACACCAGTCAGGTTTTGCATCCCATGGCCGCTGCTGGTGGGCCAGAATGGAAAGTGCTAATCCAGGAGTGCTTGAACTTCTCTAGAGAGCATCTGACACGGGGCCTTTTTGGGTCCAAATGTTCCAAGTGTGTGTGGGAAGGACACTTCCCCTTAGTGGGTCCCTTTGATCTCTCTCACGTCGGGCTTCCCCTCCAGGCCTATTGTTTGCACATTGCTGTAACTACAGGAAAACAAACGCATTATACAATTTCCCAGACTGACTCACCCTGGTACTTGATGCCTCATGTTGTCTGGTTACCCCGATTGCATCATGTCAGCATGGGAAGCTTAAAGGCTGGTTTTTCTGAGTAATAATACTGCAGTTGAGCAGTAGCTAAAAACAAAAAAAGTTATCATTATTGCTATTATCTTCAACCTGCAAACTATAAGGGAGAAAAACCAAGCAAGCCAAGTCCCTATTAACTAAACCTTGTGTGAATCATGAGTTCCAGTCAGGGGCCATGCTTAAATGATGCAGTATGTGAATATAAAAACCCTTTACTTCTGGAAACTTGGACTCAGCCATTGGAATGGGCCAATCCGTACTACTCCCTCGTCCCTGGCTCCTTTGGGATGCGTTTTGTTCAGCGTGTTGTAAACAGGGAAGGGCGGGAGGTGTCCATGCAACTGTGTCATGCACTGTGGGAACAGGGCGATTGCTTCTGGGTGGCGATGAAGCCTCAGGAAATTTGTCCCCTGGTTAGAGTTCAAGCATCCTACATTCCTGTAACTAACGTGTATGTTGAGGGAGGGGGTTATTTGTACTGTTCACGTTCAGCTGTCCTAGGTGCACCCAGCAAAGCTGAGTTCCAGAGAGGAGCTCCCAACACCTGGGTTGAGCCTCTCCATCGCTGCACCACGGCCCTTCCCTGAGCCACCCACTTTGGCTGCCCAAACATCTGCCAAAATAATCCCCATAGGATTCCCTCTGCATTAGCAAGAAAGTGTTGCAGCAAGTTCAATTCTGATATAGGGCTTCTTCCACAGACCAAAACTTTGCTTAAAAGAAAGCAAAACCCCCTCTCCCATGCCTCCCTCCAAGGCAGGGACCTGCGGAGCGAAGGGAGGAATTACAATTGTCATAATGCTGCACCTGCAAAACATCTTTTGCAAGCATCAGACCTTGCCTTCTCTTTCTGAACTGAGGTGACACAAAGCCCCTGCTTTCCCTCAGGCTGCACATGCACCACTGACTGCACCCTCAGCAGCACTGGCTCTATCTACCTATTCAGCCATGCTGTATCCAAAGGGTTCGGGCATTGGTGAAGAAATGAGAGAATCCTCCTCATATGCACCCTGGGCAATGTGCTCATGTGCTCTGCACGAGCTTATTTCAGAAGTTTAATTTCAGGTAAGGCAACACAGATCCAGAGGTGGTGACAGCTATTAGCTCACAGAGGAAAGCCATCAGCTCTTATATGCTCTAGCCCACAAAGGTTGAAAGGAAAGCTAGATAGTAAAACACTGCAATAAAACTCCATTTCTGTTTTGAGTCATCTGCGTGGGACAAAAGCCTCTAATTTCTTGGTATTGCACAGAGAAAAGAATCACTAAAAGCTATGAGACAAAAGCCTGTATCACGACAGCACTTCTCAGATTCATTTCTGATCTGATTATTTCGTGCAGACAAGAGGCACTGTGTAAACTAAGTTAAATATGTGTATTTGCACTGACAAATCAAAAGTGACAAAATTAATAAGGCCTTCTTTAAGCTTTGAGGACATGATTAAAGGGTTTTCCAAGGATATTTCTTCATTCACAAGGATATAATTACACTTAAACAAGTTATCGTGTTTGCACACTGTAAGTACAAAAGCAGCTCTTATAGGACTTGTCTAGACACTTCCACCGTGTTTCTTTGTTCTTCTTGAAGTCATTTTTTTATAAATGAACTGCACCACTATCTAATTTTTCATCCAAATTTCATCTCAATTTCTGATAAAAAAAATTATTTTCTTTACAGAACCTGTGTTTTCTCAAATTTTTATTTTACAGAAATTTGCCAGGAAACGTTTTGTAAATCCAGACTGATTTCATCCTTTTCAAATGCACAAAATCCTCTCTGTTTCAGATCTTTCTCATTTCTTGGTATTTGTTCTTCAACTGGAATAACTCAGCAGTGGCCTTTAAAAAAATTTAGCAATGAATTGAAAGAAAACTGCCACCCCAACTAATGCAGATCTGTGACTGTGCAGAGGGTTATTGCCTCCACCGATTACCTGTAACCTCAAATGAACAAATTTTAAGAACCATTTCATATGTTAATATATGCACACCAGTGTTCCAGCTGGCTTGCACCAATGCTACAATTATGCATAAAAGTCAGGAAATTATGTGTGGAAAGGATAATGAGCAGCATTGTCTGCCCAATTACCAAGTTTGCATATGCAAACAATAATTTTGCAAATCTGTGTCTGGCAAGCATTTTTTTCTGCAGTTGCATCAGCAGCTCTAAGGTTAACAGTAACAGCAAAGTAACCCAAAACCACCCCAATGCTGCTTGAACCCATCCTCCCTTTTTTGAAGAGAAGCAAAGCACTTCATCTGAAGGTGATTAGAGAGGAAAGCACGCCAGCCCAGCTCTGGCATCATCTGCCTGTCGCTGAAAGGCCGACCAAGTGTGTTGCTTAAAGCATGTATGTGGATGCCTATAGAGACTCCTGGCAAGCCTGGGTAACTGGCAATGACGCTTCTTTTTTTCAGGGATTCAGATTTGTTCCTGCTCGACTCTCGAACAATCTGGGCCGCAGAAGAAGGGTGGCTGGTGTTTGACATTACTGCAACCAGTAATCACTGGGTGGTGAATCCCCAACACAATCTTGGCCTGCAGCTGTCTGTGGAAGGCATTGATGGTGAGTGTCAGACACCAACATCAATCAGTGAGTCGCAATTTCACGTACACAATTCCCAGCCAACGGAAGCCTTAAGCGTTCAGTACTCTTTCCTTTGAATAGGATTTCTTAGGCACGTTTTTCCTAAATTTGCCTAAAATGGAAATAATAAAAAAATAATCTGTAGACATATTTCAAGTTAAGGATGTACTCAAATGCTGTAACAGACTGGTAACTTGTTTGCAGCCATTACGGTATTAGCTAGATACACATCCTCATCCAGGTACATGTATGCTACGGGCTAATTTGCAGGTAGTGCAATCCAGTCGAGGAGAAAGGAAGAAACTTTGCTATGTGCAAAAAGACACAAATGAGTGATGTAGAAGGCTAGTGTTAACTGGCACAAAATCAAAAACCAGATAGGATCCGTTTTAATTTCCTTTGTGGCAGCAGAAATGACTAGTGAAGTCATGCCTGGTCTGGACTCCAAGGTCAGCAGTATGATTATGGTACAAACCTGTGAGGTTTGGGAATGGGTGGGAGGACCTGGCTCTGAAACTTCTCCAGAAAGGATGTGTTTAGAATCAGGCAGGGAGTTTTCCTAACCAGCTCTTAACTAAAAAGTCATGCTGCTTTGTCTTAATGTTAAGATTCCTGATGCTTACTTAGAAACTTGTGAAAGGAAACCAAAGTATCCTGGATGTTCATGTGGGTTCCAAGGACCTGGGACCATCTGGAACTGCCTGACTGCCCCACAGGAGAGGTTAAGCAAAACCCAGCTCAAAACTATTATAAATACTCTGAATGTAGTTATCTAAGGACATACTTTCATTCTCCAGATATGCATCTGTGATATCACTTGCTACTGGTTTTTATGCAACCCTCTGAACACTTTCAGTAAGTAGTATTTTGCATAAAGACTTTTGCAAAGCAGACAACCTATGGAGAGTATCTGTATGAAAGGATGATTTTACTCATGTGAGACCTGCGCACCGAGAGGTGTATGGGTTTGTTTTAACCTACCCTTTCCAAGCAAATACAGAAACACAAACACAGATATAAAGGAGGAGCTTCACCATGGAAGTTACTAGTTCTCCACCCCAATAACAGATGCCTTTTGCCATCTTTGTATAAAGATTAAAATTCAACCTGATTTACAAGTTAATCAAAGGTAAAACAGTAAGGCAAATTAACAGCCAAGATGAGCTTAACATTTGCCCATGTTTTAGGTTTCCAGTTTGCCTCCTAAATGAAATACTTGGAAGTACAGCGTCCATGATCATGACACATCTGTTCAGTTATGGTTCACATACAGGAAAACCATCAAGACTCAGCCCAGGGTCCACAGAAAAGCAATAGTTAGAAGTAGGCTTGATATCTCTAAACACTACGGATACTACAGTCTCACACGCTCTTTCTCCGATAAAGTGTTCTTACTGGTCTGTCCTCCCTCCCTCTCTCCTAGTGATTTTACAACAAAAGTCAATCCTGTTTTTCAGCATTAAGGAGAAAGGCAGCTGATTTATGAATATGTTCCAAACTTCAGTGGGGACTTTTCAGGATTCTGCATCCAAGGAAATGCTGCAACCTTGCACACACTTACAGTACCTCTGCTCTGCTGGAGCAATTAGAAATGGATCTTCGGAAGCATACAGCCAGATCTATCACAGAGAGAGCTTTCAAAGACAGAAATTCTCATGTTCAGTGATAAGTGCACTCTTATTTGTAACCCAACTCAATGAAAATTAGGAATCTGTTTTCTTTTTGCACTCCTGAGAGAACTAGCTGAGTTTGTATATGATTTCAGCCCTTTGCAAAGTAAGTTGCTGCCTTCTCGAAATATATTAACAAAATACTTTAATCAGCATGTCATTAAAGTTAGAAAAGCCAAGTGCAGTGTTTAAAAAGTAAATACAGAGATACAGAACCCAACTGTCTGCTTGACTTCTATAACCAAGTCCCCTGGCAGCACACCTTTGCACTCACAGTTCTCCACCATACATGTGAATTTTTCTTTCTATTTTGAATGGCAAGAACATGTCCTTCTTTGCTCCCCAAGTTTCATTTTGGATTTAGACCAACCATGTGCAGTAACAAGAAAGTTGCTTTTACACCTGGACCTCATATGAAAATCATATGCTGCAAACACAGCAAGATTTTGATGCAACACTATATGCTTGGGCAATCCCCAGAGATTTAAGTAAATTAGAAAAAACCCACCACTTTTCCTTATATCTGTCATTACATATAGGCATCTGTAATCATGAAGCCAATACAGTCTATTTAAAAAAATTATGACATCACAAGCACTGTCCAGGTGAAATTATACAAAAGAAATTAAACTGATTTTTGTATTTCATTATAGTCTTGCCAAATAAGTCTACTAACGTGTATAACTAGGGTGGAATCAAAGGGTATTTGTTTTCAAAAATGGGGATTGGCTCAAGCAGCAAGCAGAAGAAATGTTGGAGTGGCTCAGTAGCCATCAGCGAGCTCTCAGCCCAGCACTGATACGCCTTGCTCGGCAGCAGCACATGGGAACAGCAGCTTCCCACCAAGTGTAACTTAGTTTATTACCTAAGATCCCATTTTAGACAGTATTAAAAAAGAAGCTTCATAAAAGCAGATAAAGCTGTGCCCTCTGGTTCAAGAGCACAACTTTAGTTCTTTTGGGAGAAGTTTATCATTGTCTAATGGTGACTATCCACGTGCTTAACCTTGCTTTCTGCATGTATAGGAAAAGTTAGAAAGTGGATTTTCCCCATCTTTATTAAAAAGAAATATGCTGCTTCGCATACAGAGCATGACTTGCCTTTTTTTCCCCTATGGAAACACTACCACCATACTGATCTTGAACATGACATGTTGGCGTTACACGAGAAATTCATTGGTCAAATGCTGCTTATTGCTCTGCTAATGCAAATCCATTAAACGTGTCAGTGTGAAGCTGTGTCCCCTCACTGCATACTGCTGACCTACTCTCTAGAGATACAGTCACGGCAAAATAATTTACACTGGAAAAACCACAGCCATAGATATACTTGCTAGTTGAAACCGCTTTGGGAAGCAGAAAGACTCCTCTGCAGGGCCAGGAGAAGCCATAGGAGCAGCATTCAGTGAGCTCCGAGTCCTGCAGCTGAGCTAGTTTTCAGGAGATAAGGCTTTGATCCGGCAGAGCCCGAGCACAAGCAGAACTACTCGTGTATTTAGCATTAGCTACTTGCTTAAGCACTTTGAGGGCTCAGACTCAAATGTTTAAAATGAAAACCATTCAGACGAGTTTCCGGGAAGTAGCTTAAGCAGAAGGTGAAGAAGTTGTCGACGTGTGTCCACATATAAATCTACGTACGTGAGTTTTCGCATTTGCTATTTTCGCCAAAGCTTTTCCTGTCCCAAGATTAGTTTGTTTTATCTAGTTTGCAAGGCCTGGCCATGCTGCGCAGTTGTCCCACTGCCAAGCTCCCATTAAAACACTTCTTGAGCCAGTCCTCTCCACAAATCCCATATACTGCGGCCTGGGACTTGCTCGCTGAGCTGCACACTTTTGGAAAAACAGAAAATGGACTCCAGCCGGGGCTGGTCCATTGCTTGGCCTCGAGCTTTGAGCACAGCGCCTTTTTCTGGGTCTGTCACATTTACCAATCTTTTGGCCACGTGCAAGAGCAAAAATGGAAACAATTCCATAGAGACGGTAATTTCTAAGCCTTAGCATTTACTTTACTCATCTCAAAAACAGCAGTTATAGAATATTGCCTAGAAATACTGCAGGTTAGCAGCTTCTTTTCACCTGGTAGTAAGAAACTAGTGGGATAAGGGCATTTTTGTCAGTGGAGTGTAGAGCCCTTCACCTGCTCTCCCCAGCCTTTCAGGGCTTCTCTAGGAAAGTGTCAGCTGTCCTTTGGCATATTCGATTTGTGGCTGACAAGGCCCAGCTCTGTCTTAGCAAAAGGATCTCAAAAGCCATTAACATAACTTTGACTTAGCAGCAGTACTCAGTAGCTTGGAACAGAATAATTCTGGATATCACCCCTGCATTTCTCAACAGGACCCGGACACCCAGAGGCAACAGGAAGAAATATCCCACTGCCACCCCCACCTTGTGTTTTTTGTAAATAATTGATTTAATTCTACAGAGAAACCACCTAGTCATCTTTTACCAAAAACGAAATTATTTTAAAAGCCCAGGATGAAGGAAGCATGAACAGTAATCAACAGTTCTGCAAAGTTCACGGCACTGCTGTACCTGATATATAGCAATAAGCAAAATGTCTCTAAACATCTGAACTATTTGTTTTATTCAGCTATGGTATATCTGGAACTCTGTCAGCATTTCATACAAGGCATTTTTATTTTAAGTTAATAACCTTCCAGTGGGAATTTAGTGTTCCTATGGGCAGAGTTTTATGGGTCCTTTTATAGGATCACTTCAAATTATAGGTTGGTGAACTTAAAGAAACCCCTCTAAAGAATGCAGGAAAAGTTAATGCTAAGCGGATTTAGGGTAAAATAATTATATGTAGGACTATTTTATGTAACTTTTACACGCAGATATAAAATGAAGTTAGCTGTGCTGAGCTGCTCTTGTCAGAAGCAGCTTTGCCGATTAAGTCCAGGCCCTTGGTGGATCAGCACATGGCTAGGAATCACCCTGACCAGCCAGCAGCTCTCCTCCTTGTTGTCCTTGCTGAAAAGTTACCGCAGGCCCTCTTACCATCCATTCTGTTATTAAGGGCAAAGCATCAATCCCAAACTGGCGGGTCTGATCGGAAGGCACGGCCCGCAGAACAAGCAGCCATTCACGGTAGCCTTCTTCAAAGCCACCGAGGTTCATCTCCGCAGTATTCGCTCCACAGGAGGGAAGCAAAGGAGCCAGAATCGATCAAAAACACCAAAGAACCAGGAAGCTTTCCGGGTGTCGAACATTGCAGGTACAGTGCGGGTTGCTGACGTGGTGTTTCTGGGCGTGGGATAATGTGGGAACAGTTTCTCCCACAGTCAGTCTGTTTTCTTGTCTCTTTGGTCTACCACTAGTGTTCGGTTGCTGGTTTGAAACTACTTGGGATTAGGGATTATTCCAAAAAAGTTGGAAAAATAATGTTTATTGGAAACAATGTTAAACTGAGGGATTTCTTAATCCAGTTCAAAAAAAGAAAAAAGCACCTAACCAAAAAATCTGCCTTTTTTCACACATAAAACAAATTCTCATTTTTAAATGTAATTACATATTACATTAAATACAATTACATCAAAGCAATAAGGGAGCAAAATGATTAATATATTTCAGTGGATCAGAATCAAAACGCTGTAGATTTTCACATTTTGTGATTTTAAGTTTAGCTCCCAAAACGTTTAGTAGTCCCAAAAGTTTTGCCTGGAAGAGGAAAACCCATTTGTTGTTCAGGATAACTGCAGCTGTTTGGGGAGGGGGGAGCTGTGCCTCCTAATATGGAAAACCCCATCAGGCATTTGAAATAGAAACGTGGCTTCATGATGAGATACCTCAGAATAACGGGCCCTCGGTGACCTTCCCAGCAGGAACCGCAGCACAGGCTTGCTCTGCTGAGGGCAGTGGCAGATTTGAGCTCTATTTCTGTGAGCACTTCACTGAATGGAGGGAGAGCTTGCCAGAGCTGGAAGGCAGAGGACAGCATAGGCACTGCATCACCTGCAACTCACCTTTGCCTTGGGTTGCTTGGGATTACCTGCAAGGCTACGGGAGAACTCTCTCCCATCGGAGTTAGTGCAGCTTCCCTGTATTTAATCAGGTTATTCCTGTCCTAGAACTAATGATGTTTTTCTGCAGCCGTGGTGACAGGTGTGGCTTCTCTGACCTGCCCACATGTAGATCTTTTTGTACCTCTTACACAAAACCCAAGAGTCTTTAAAATGGTTTTCCATAGCTTATGTTTCCAAGGACTGGGTTTTGCAGTTCCCTGAGCATAGATGGTCTGCAGTTTTAATTGTGCATTTTTATCATCTATTTGCTGTATAAATTCAATTTTTAAAGGATGGGTAGTGGACAGAAGAATTTCTTACTTGTGCGAGTATGTTAGAAAAGTCCCTGTAACCAGTGTCCTGCTTCCAGCTTGCAGATGCCATATTGAGTTAGCTTCCAATGACAAGAGTTGAAAAAGTATTTTCGGGTATTTCTACTTGGTCTCCACCTCAGGCTGTATGTCCAGGATGGACACAACTACCGTAACTATCAGTGCAGTTTCACAGCTCCGTGATTCAGACCCATGCTTTATTCTTTGTCTGCAGCATTGTCACCCATTGTGAGAAGTCTGTAATCTGGATCCAGCTGCACTGGACAGAAGAACAGATTCCACATTATCTTAATGTCATATGTTGCTTTTGTAGGCCTGAAGGTGCAACCATCACCAGTAACAGAGGTGATTCAAAGGCAGGAATTTAGAAAATAGGTAAAGGCTGCCTTTATCACTCCTTTGACAGTTTCTCCTTTTAAATAATAGGCAATAATCAGAGAGATCTGCTTTTTGCTAATAGGAGGTCAGAGGAAGCCCAGGGGGAAAAAAAAAAAAAAAAAAGCAAAAAAACTATTTTCTCAGGCCTTTTTTGGCTTTGCACAGAAAGCCAGAGGGTCATTTCATACGTATTGAACCCAGCCATTATTTTATGGCTAAAACTGAAAACATTAAAAAAGCGCCCCACAAGCGCAGCAGATGAGCAGTGCTGCCTCAGTCCCTGTTGGGGCACTGCTGAGGGCTGTGGGTGCTGGGGCACGCCGCGAGCGTGGGGCAGCCCAGCCCCATGGCCACCCATTGTCCCCATGCAGAGAACAGCAGCAGCGACCAGCGACAAGCCTGCAAGAAGCACGAGCTCTACGTCAGCTTCAGGGACCTAGGGTGGCAGGTAAGGGCTGCGCGTGACTGGGGTGGGAGCTGGGGTACCTTTGCACATCGCTTACTGAGCTGCAATAGTGACATCAAGCAAATAACTGGATTCTTTTTTTATCCCAAAGGGGAAGAATTATGTATTGCCTTTAGCATGCTCAAGTGCTTCTGCAAAGTTAGGGTATAGAAATAATTAGTGTGAGACTGGCTAGAAACTCACACTTAGGTCTTTTTGAGAAGCTGTGGCCCTGAATTTCCTCTGGCAGGGCTGAACACACATACAGCTCTTCATCTATCAATTCTTTTAAACCTGGTTAAGGACATTCTGATTTGAGAGCTTATACCTGCATTATTACAGTGATGGGTGAAGCGATCCTTGTGGACAGCCAGGAGGACACTGCTGAGCAGATAAACAACTAAACCCTGAAGTTCAGCTACTCTGTGAACATGTTTGCAAAGCAGGATATGTCGATCCAGGAAAAGCAGCCACTTTAGACGTGTATAAAATAGCATTAGAAAGGTCAGGGTACCAGATTTTTATTTTGCAGGCCACTCTTAATTGTACGTGGATGTATGAATTGATAGATTTATGTGCTGTTTTACTTTTTGTTTCACTGCACAATATTTCTGTCTTTTTCCACAATTTAATGGCTTCAATTTAATCAAGGACTGGATCATCGCTCCGGAGGGCTATGCTGCATATTACTGTGAAGGAGAATGTGCTTTCCCGTTGAATTCATACATGAACGCTACAAATCATGCCATTGTACAGACACTGGTAGGTGCACTGTAGCTCCTAGTACAGTTATATCTGATAGGTGTTACTCAGAAATAAGTTTATACACAAAAAATATCTCTAAGCTGACAAGAGAAGTAAGGTCTGCATTAGCTCATTAAGATGCCTGCAGCATTTGGCTCAACATGTCTAGCCAAGTGGCCTGAATTAATAGTTGGCTAGGAATTACCCTGCCTTTGCTGCAAGCACTGACATGCTCTCTCTAGTTTAAAAGGGCCCTATGACAGACATCTTAATGGTGGTGTAGTCCCACTGCATGGGAAGGAAAGAGCAGGACGTGAGCCCCACTATCAGCATCTCTTGGAAAAACTCTGTTATAGTGCCACCAAAAGCGGGTCTGCGTGCAGACTGAGGAATGGGTCAGTGAATTCCAAAATTACACAGGCCAGCTGCTCTGTGTATTTGTTTTAAGAAACTGTACAGAGATGTCCAGATGGGAGCCCTGAGCTGGCGTGTCATGACGCCACGCCTGTGCTTGTGGGACCGTTGGCTGGGGGCCGCCCAGCCCCAGCTGTGTCACCAAAGCCAGTGCACTCTGGCTCTTGGCCTGGTGGTCCCAAACACCCTGGCTGAGCAGCACCTCAGCTGCCCTGCCTGGATGCCCTCTCCTACCCAGCTTGGGCCCAGCTTAACAGCCTGGGCCCCCTGCACACAGCTGCAGGGCACAAGGAGGCTCACTGCACCTTTGCATCTACATCCCATGCCCTGTGCACATCTAAGGACGACACTCAAAAAGTATTAGGGAAACAAGAAGCATCTACATTTCCAAGGGAAGAAATATCTGTGGTTTTCTCCTGGTAGATTGCTTTTTATATGCTTCTTCCCCTCTCTCCTCGGAGGTCCCACAGCAGGAGCACAGGGGACCTGGAGCCCCTGGCCCCAGCCAGGTCTCAGCAGTGCCAGCTGCAGGGACAGGGGTCTCTGCCCAGGGCTGATGGGATTTCTCACAAAACCTCGCCTGCACATCCAACAGAGTTTACCATAACTGGTACACTTCTGCAGAACGTTGACTGCTCTGACAAATGGGAATTTTCTAATGAAAGCCTGCCTCGCTGAAAGATTTCCAACTAGATCTGACTTGGATGCGTGCGTCAGCCTCTGTACATGCAGGGGACATCAAGACATTTGTACACAAAGCCAGGTGTTCGAAACATGTCAGAATGAGTGTATGGGACAGACAAAGTCGCCAGGGAAAGAAAAATATGAGGGAGGAGAAGGGAAAAGTAAATCTTAACATGCTTCTACTTTCATCCCCCAGGTTCACTTTATAAACCCAGAGACTGTGCCGAAACCCTGCTGTGCTCCTACACAACTCAATGCCATCTCAGTGCTCTATTTTGATGACAGCTCCAATGTTATCTTAAAAAAATACAGGAACATGGTGGTACGAGCATGTGGCTGTCATTAGATTTGTAGGAAAGAAAAAAAAAAAAAGTTATTTGTAAAGCGTGGTTTTGTATGGCTGTATGGGGGAGGGGAAAAGGTTAGTGCTCCAGCAACGGGTTTAAAAAAATCCCAAACAGTTTTTAGGACTGGGCTTCTGAAAGTTCAGACAATGGAACAGTTTCTGGATCTAAGTGGCATTTGAACACATTTTGTTTTAGTTTATTACAGACAATGAGCTTGTAAACTGAAACAAGCCAGAGAAACCATTTAAAACCAAATCTGCCTACAAAATTGGCTCCTACAATACATACTTTTGCAAATGAGTCTTTCTGAAGATTGCAAACTCACCAGTGTTGAATGTGAGTTAAAAAATAGTAATCTATCCAAGGTGAGAATGTGCTGTGACTAATAAGCATGTGTAGTTCCTGTAATGCAGTTTGCAATAAAATAAGTGAACAAAATATACCTGGAGTGAACAGGTATTTTGTTAGAGAATTATTACTTCCATCCCTCTGTTTTCTTCAATTTCATAAGCAAAAACAAAGATTAATTACATGCAACTTTCAGTTTTAAACTACAGTAGCAAAAGCTATGTCTGGATTGATGCAAATTCAAGGGACAGATCAGTCTAAGGAAAAAGAAAAAAGAATTTGCTAATTGGCAAGCTAAAGACCTGAAAAAAATAATTCCAAAGAGAAAGATTTTTGGGGGTATAATTTTTTTGTCAACAGGGAAGGAGATTTCCTCTAGGAAGAATTTGTGTTTGCTATGAACTTGAAACAGGAAAGCAGCAAAATGTTAAGCAGAGATTAAACCTAACATTAACGTTTAGCTGGGGTGTCCTAGGCAATCATGGAGTTGTGAAAGCCAGCTTAAGATCCTGCTCCTGTTTGGAAAACGTCCATTGACTTCACTGACAGAACAAGTTTCAACGCTTTTTTGAAAACACAGAGGCTCAAGTGCAAAAGGTGCTGTAAGCTGGGACATACACCCAGCACTAGACAGACTCAGCTAGAAACGAGCTAGGAAACAGTACTTCCCAGAGTCAGGTTTGCGATGAAACCCCTGCTCTATTATTGGCTTCACCTCTTAAAAAAAAAAAATAAAAATCCCTTTCAAGAGCCACACCAACAAGCTGGAACCAGGAACAAGAAAACATCCCCTCCAGGCTTTTCTTTTTCCTTCTTTTAAAGTCACAGGTTACACAAACATCACACTTATGTAATTAAAACTCAATTAAAGTTGTTGTGAAGAAGAATACAAAGGAGCAGTAACCAATCACAAACCAATTCAACCCTCTGGCATACCTTGTGATTTAAAAAGTAGGACTGACATAAATTTCACCAGGGAGATAAATAAGAAAATTCTGTCCAATACAACACCAGGTCCACAGCACACCCAGCTCTAAATCTCCAAACTTCAAAAACCTAAACCTCCAACAGATGGATCCAGAACATAATAAATCCCTGGGGAAGGTTCTCTCTGCTCAGTGAGCGGACAGGGCGATGCAGCTGCAGTGGGAACTTGGCTCCGTAACTTGCCTTAGAGGAGAGTTAGAGAAAGAAGATAAATTGAACGCAACCGCCCGATTCTGGAAATCACTCACTGCTCTTCTTCCTTTAAGTCACAGATCAAATCCAGACCAGATGCCTCACTTTAAAAAGAATAAGCAAAAGAAGAAAAATACTGTCTATGAAATAAATTGGAAACTTGTTTCTGATGATCTAATTCTAATCTTTAAGTCAACTGGTGTTTTCCCAGCAGTTTTCTCAGTAGCAGGATTAGGCTTATGGGAAAGTGCAAGTCTCTCCATGACATCGGTAGGTTTTGGACTGGGGCCTTGGTGAGCAGTTGCCACATTGCCAGATGTGCCTGGCTTCCAACCCAGGCACCTCAGACATCTGCAGGACCAGCCTGGCCGTGGCGCACACACACTCCGCAAGTGCGACTCCAGCAAACCTCCAAACTGCCCCCAGGTGAGGCTTTGGCCACACACAGCCAAATGGCAGGACAACAGCTGAAGCCAAAAGACCATCTCTCCCCGGAGCCTGCAGACAAGACCATCTACAATAAACAGCCAAAACTGCCCTCGGTTCATCTCTTATTTGGAGTGAGGTATTGAAATCACGCAGATGGGAAGTGTCTTTTGACATTGTATACCTATATACACCAGTGCTTCTGTAAACCTCCTAAAGGAACTTGGGGCACTGCCTAGAAAGTTAAGAGCTAATCATGCCTAAACTTCCACTATTTAGTAGTCAAGGATTAGTTTTTCTTGCGGGTGTTTCAGTGTTGGTGGCCACTGCGTTGGTGTATTGCATTTTTAACTTGGACCACGGTATCTTCTGTATAGGTTTCATATATTAAATATTATGTGGGATTGTTTCTGTTTTGGGTTTGGTTTTTTTTTTTAAGCATAAGAACAGGATTTCTGTTGCTAGGCTCAACATCAGCTTCACTGTTTGTACATTTTTATGTAAATAGTTGTCACAAGCGGAAGAAGAATTATTTATTTCCATCTCTGAATTCCTTTTCAATCACATCCAGAAAAAATTATTCTCGGTTCCTAAACACATTTGTTTCCTTATTTAAGAAGATATTTATTAACAGTTGGCAAAAATGCATACACGTTTCTGGTTCTTTTCATAGAGCAGTTGTCAGAAGCCTTTTGTACAAACTAGTAAAATAAATCATTGCAACTTTACAAAAGATATCCCAACAACATTGTGTGTCTGTGTGGTTATTCTCCTTGTATTCAAAGAACCTTTTTGGCTGGGCAATATTTTATCCTGAGCCTCTGTTTTCATGTAGATCAATCTCTGTGTACGGGCATAATTGGCACATGTTGCTATTTGGTGTGACTCCTTCAGCCTAAATGCAACAGAGAGGGAAGAACACAGAAAAATATGAATATGTTTTGCAGACTGCACTGCAAAGATCCATGATTGAATTATAGTGCAGCTGTCAGCAGCTGTTTCAAAGAAGCAGGGGGTAAATTAGTTCTGTTTACTGCTAACATAGTTCAGAGATTTAGTCATCCCAATAAAATTATAGAGGCACAAGAAAGGAAAAAAGAAACTCCAAAGGAACATCAGCCAAGAAGCTGACATTTTCTAATTTAGATTGTTTTAGCATATTTCAGAGATGCTGCTGGCATGAGGTTTCCTACTGTGGATACCACACCGCATTGCTATGGAGGCAGCTGAAAAAAAATAATGGTCTAAATCCCTGTATTAACTAAACATTATATCTTCGGGGCATAATAGCAATTTTGGGGTTCTGTACTTTGAACTGTGAGCAGAGTTGTGCCAGTTTGTGTAGATGTATTTGCTGATTCAGAGGCTTAAATCACCAGCATTTTGGTGTTAAACTACTATTTTTCACAAGCAATTACAAATTCCTAAGTAAATTTGCTTCATGCACTGATCTGAAGTCCAGCAAAGCATCTTGGAAAGACCTCTACTGACCTAAACTGATGCCTACTCAGCTTTTGTATGCCTAGACTAATTTTAGAAAGAAGATCCTCTGGTATTTCTCAGTATGGTCCCAATTCTCTTCATTTAGACACAGTGTAAGTCAGAGGTGGTTCCAGCTAAGGGAGGAAATAAAAAAAGCCCAAATTAAATCATCCTGCTTTACAGTGCCAGTCTTGCAGCCAACAGAAGCTTTACCACTAACTTCAACACATCCAGCCTTATATCATGAAATATCGGTTGGTTTCCAGCTCTGCCACAAACACACACAACTTGCTGGATATGCTTCGTAGCAGCTTTTCCAGCCTGGGAGCCAAAACTCCGTTCCCGAGCTGGTTGCAGCCTCCCCTCGGTCCGCAGCGCTACTGTGGCTTTGTCTCCTCATCTACTGTTCTGGAAGAGGAATTCTTGACTTGAATACGTATGCTGCCATAAACTGGCAGGGCCATAAAGCTCCAGCGAACCAGCTTCAAAACAGCTAGATTTATCTGAGTAATGACATTTTAAAGCACATTTAAAACATTTTATAGATCGGTTATTTTAACTTCCTTTCAGGCCAAACTCTGAGGATGTTATGTTTGCTTAATTGAGCCGTTTCAGATCTGTTCCAGTACTGACAATAGGATCCTTTTTTCCCTGCACAGGAAACTGCCTCCATTGCTGCCAATGTTCATATAATAAAAGATAATGATTTAAGTAAGCCTTAGTACAATCTTGAGATTTCTGATTTTTTAATAGAAGTGTCAGCTGTAAAACCTAAAACCAGAAAGGGAGAGCAGATCTTGCACAAGCACAGCTCAGCAGCGTTGCCAAGGACCACGGGATTTCCTCTGCTGCTCTATTCAATCCTTTCAGCCCCATCCGCAATAGGAACAGACACTTTCTGGATAACTAAAACTAAAAAGACTCATCTTTTGAGTTCCGAATTTGCATCCTCTACATGTTTCCATCCAAATACCCTGCTTGCTAACTTCTATTGCTGCCACAAACACATTATTCTCTGTATTCAGCCATTCCTTTCCAGAGAAATTCTGCCCAATTAAACTAAAAGGAGCCTGTTTGAAGTTTTTATTTATCAGGTAATGATTGACAAGACCTTGAGGCAAAAACTAGCAGCACTTTATACTATAGTCATTCATTACCCAAGTACAAAAGCAACACAAATGGGTTATTATGGCCACTTTGAGTTACTCTGTTTTAAATAAAAATATCTATTCCCTTTCTCTGCTTAATGCAGTAGAATTTGTATTCCTAAACCAGCAGCTAAGAAAGATCAGAAGTTTTGAATAAGACACACTTAAGGCCCTGATTTGTTTCTAAGCATGCACACTGGTTTTCCTAGGGTCTGTGTGCTCACCAGGCAGTAGGAGCAGACTTCTTAATGTTTTGAGAGTTATTTTGATATTGTGAGGTTTGCCACTTTGGGACAAATTTGCTGTTTTCTCCAATTAATAGAATCCTGATGTTTGAAATAATTCCATAAGTGAAGACAGCACAATCTTTAGACAGCTTGAGTTTAGTTTTAGATTTAAAAGGAAAACAGGACAAGTCAGCCAGAGTCATCAACTTCACTTTTCTTTTTTTTCCATCAGGGAAAAGTACTGGGGAACCAAGGGGAGAAAAGGGGGCTACACTGTCCCACAGACCCTTAGAAAGGAAGCTTTGCACTTGACTAATTTTTGCAGGCCTGGTTAAGCATTTAACTATTTGCAGGATAAGGCTCTACATGGGGCTGCTTGAATTAACCTCACCCTCAAAAAATTGGCTTGCTTGTCTGCAATAAAATCCAATCCCGGGCCAGTCAGCAATAATTTGGGAAACGGAACATTTGTGTCTGGAATTGGGAGGGGGCAAGTGGCTGTATGCGCTGCAGCGGCCATGGGCTTGCCTGTAATTAAAAACATGCACGCACCCTTTCTGAACGGGAAGCTGAAGTGACTCCTGAGTTAGCAGCTCTGTGCTGATGATAACTTTGGGCTAATGATCTTATTTTAAGCAGCTCTTAAGAAAAAGGGTGAGGGGCTGGAATGTGCCAGGACCTCATCAGATCTGTTACGCTTTAGCATGTCAGCCCCTGTAGCTCAAGCTCAGGACTTCAGGTTTAAGCTAAATTTCCAAAGCAGCATACACAGGTTTGGGATGACACTGTGCTTGTGGGGTACAAAAAAACCCCACAGAGGCACTAGGAGCCTTTCAACCTGGCTCCCCACCTTCCCCTCCGTTGCATGATCTGTCTGGTAAGGTCTAGAGCAGGCAATGGCCTTGGTAGTGGCCAGACACTAATGGTGACACCAGCAAGGTGACCTTTGGCTTGGCTAATGAAGGCAAACTGTTGCAGGCTGCTGGATTTATTCCCATGTTATTTGTTGCTGCTGTGTCAGGTGCTTCATATAAAATACGTGGAAGCAGAGACATTTGGTATCTGGATTCAGTTATGAAGGGTCAGAGCTCAAAGATATCATTTCTCAAGTCCCAACAATTCAAGCCATTTTGTTCAGCGTTTGTAACAAGCTGTAGACAAGAGCAGAGAGGTTGATAGCTCTACATCTGTCTGCCTTAGGCAGAAGTACTAGCCAGTCTCTTTAAAAAAAAAAAAGATATTTGGGCAATTGCTTAATGAGAACAATTTCCTCATTTTAGCTTCTATCTTTGACTATATACTAAGCATTCAAGAAAGGGGCACAAACCAACAACATACTTAGCTGATTCAAAATTGACGTATGAGGAGCTATGCTTCTGATTTATTAATCTCTCAGTAATCTGCTGCCACTACTGACCTATATTTGGCTCCTAGCCCTTAAATCCATGGAATTCAGTTCTTCCTTAACAGGGAATGACCTGGCTGGACTGCAGTTTTAGGACTTGGCTAATTACCTCAGGGACATATTTCATGAAACCTCA